TGAACCACAAGATCATGACCTGAGCCAAAGTTGGACACTTAACCAACTGAGCCACTCAGGCACCCTGATAGATTCCAGTTCTATAAGGACATGATTGTATTCAGCAGACATTTGTTTTGGAGGGAGGAGGGGGTGCAATGTTCAAATTCCAAGTTGTCTTCATTGATACTTGTCTGTGGTCATTCCAAACAGATGAAGACACCAAATTTCCTATGGCCAATAAATCTAGGTGTTTATGCCCTAGGTTAGTGTGCCCACAAGCAGGTAAGATTAATTTCTATTCAAAAATTATGCTTTGAGTTCAATTACTTATGAATCTAACGGATTATAAAGAACATGGTATGCACTATTGAAATCCATTGCACTTTTCATGTGTGTGGTAATAAGGTGCAGTGTAATTTATGGTTTACAAATTTATGGACCCAGAGTTAGAGCTCCAGGCTACAGGATGTAGAATACTATCCTTTTAAATTTCAATTTTTCCTCTAACACCAGCTAGTAAAAACTACTTTTGCATTTGTGTGGCAACATCAGACCCTGCTCCTTCTTAGTATCCCAGAAGTCAGAAATCACATAATTTTTAAGTTGGAAGAGATCTGTGTGGGTCATTCTGTTCACCTCCTGTTACTACCTCTGGAAAGAGTAATGTTTATTTATCTTGGCAAGGTGAGATCTCTCTTTTCATACCAAATATTGGAAGAAGATTTTCTCTGAGAATGAAGATCTGGTATTTAGTAATTCTTCTAAATTTTCAGCCTAAGCATTGCTTATATCTGTCCAATGCCCTCTTGCTTATGAAGACAGCCAACAATTTCACATTATTGAGAATATTCTAGGTTTTTTTCGGGCAGTTCCAATGAAGAGGTTGATATTACATGCAGAAGGATGGAGGTCAAAGATAGGCTCCAGCAGCATGAGAAAAAATATATCTACCAGGCCCTGAGATAAGGGGTTGCCTTTTGAATTTAATTCATGTAAGTGAGCACCACAATTATGAAGGCTAAGGAACACATACAGAAAATATGAGATGATAGCTGGATCTTAAAGAAGACAGGAAATACTGGAAAGCAAGCTTGCAGAACAATTGCAAGTTTCTGTAAAGCACCAGGAAGAGACAAAGACTGTAACTATCAACATGAAGCTTTGCTCACAAGAAAGACACACTCTTCTACTTTTGAGAGGGTGAGGGTAAATAAGTCAATATAACAAACAATACATGTAGTATTCAACACGATCATTCTAACTTCTTTGATGCGATTTTAAGTTTTGACAAGCTACTAGTAAGCTACAAATTCACTGAGAAAGGAATATATATCTGCATAAGAAAATTTAAAAAGATAAAACAGCAACAGGTTCATGTATTTACATGGTCTGGTCACGAACTAACCTCTTTAGTGTTTGGGAGAACAAAATCTGGGCTGCCCTTTCCTGCGATCTGAGCTTCAGGCTTCCCTGTGGCATTTCCTCATCCAAAGGGTGACATCCTGACTCCCCAGGACAGTGGTTTATAAATAACAAGCCTCTGAGCCCTGTGTAAAATGTATTTGAAAATAAATTCTCCACGTATAAACATACCAACAGACAGATACAGAGCTAGGACACACCCAGATGCCTTTTAATTCTCTTCGATTCTTCTGTAAAAAGAGAAAACTAGAGAAATCATTCACCTCAAACCCAATCTGCCATGAGAATGAGAACAATGAACAGGAGAATGAATTTAAGTGATCAATTATGGGTGTGGACAATTATTGAAACAGAAGTTCAGATCAGAGGATGTCTGTCCTCATAGGGATGAATTGGTGAAAATTTGCTCATTATTAAAGTTGCTTAAACTCTTCTCCATGTCTTCCATAAACCACATCATTTAGTCTTAGGGTGGCTTTATGAGGGTCACTGCACCCATTTCACATTGGACAAAACTGAAGCTCAAAGCTTCTAAGTGTCCAAGGTTACCAGTAAGTAAGAGACAGGGCCAAGTTCAAACTCCGGCAGTGTGACTTATCAAAAAAGGGTCTCTTGGTTCCATCTTAGACTCCAGCCTCTGGCCTGGATGATCACCGGTCTTCCAAGAAATAGCTATGTCACCCTGACCAAGCCAAGAATAGAGTAGAAAATACGTGGAAATAGTAGCCCAACTGTAATGGTTGAAGCTCTACTAAATATTTAGTAATACTAAACTCTAGATTTTAGTTAGCTGGTTTATTTTTCTTTTTAAAAGTAGTACTATAATAAAATTACCATAAGTCCTTTTTTAAAAGGGACCCTTGACCCTGGCTGTAAATAATGTGGTAAAATATTTAACAACAATAACAAAATGCAAAACCACAGAACACAGAATAAGCAACTGGAAGGTTCAGCTCACTGACTTTCAGAACTGTAAGCAACCTCTAGAGCCATTTAGTCAAGAGGAAGAAAGGAAGTCCGAGAGAAATGAAATGACTCAGCACAAAGGTACAGGGCATGGTAATCTCGTAGTTAGCTAGCCAGCATCAGAAACGAGTTCTTTTGACCCCAATGCTCTTGCTAACAGTGTAGTCACTAAGTCAAATTGCAGTGTCGTTCATTCTGTATCAAACTGAATGGCGTATACTATATATTTTTACATTATTATTGCTGGACCAGACCCTGGCAATTTTGAACTAATCCACAGGAGTAACTAAGAGATAAATCAAGCCTTTCAGTTTATTTGGACGCATATACCCTAAATAAGCTACAAGATAAATATTTTTCACCACATAATAGTGCCACTCAACATTGTCTCTAATTATGCACTATGACCTTCTAACCTCTCTTTATGCACATGCTTGATATTCAAGATTTTGGCTTCACTTAGAGAGAACAATCAGAGATCAGGCTTTCTATATCGAAATGAATGATTCTACTTTTATAGATACAAAAGTGAAATAACAAACAGGTAGGAGGAGAAACTTTCCCTCTTTTATGTAAATACTCTCAGAACATTTCTAATATTTGGAGTCATTACTTTAAAAAAAAAAACTCAACTATTCAACCAGTACCATATATTTAAACTTATTAAATATTATTAAAATCTTTTTCTTTGCTGTGTATTTAAATGAAGGAAGCAGTTATAAAAAATAATTATTTGCTTTTCAATTCAGTATCAAAGTGGTCACTGAGTTAAAAAAAAAAACCTTGTCACCACCTCCGATTTCTGGTTCTTTGTCTTTAGTTAGAATTTTCATATTTAGGAACAAGAGCCCTTATAGTTAATGGTGGTATGTACAGCACAATATATAAATTATACTGATGGAGTGAAGGTGCACAGTTTTATCAAAGTTACCTAACTCAAGCATTGTTTATCATATAATGAATATTAAAGACTGAAGCTTAACATTTTGATGTAACTGGCAAGGGGCAACTATAGTTATGTATCTCCATTATTGTAACTAATTTCAGTATCTGTTTCATATTTTATTCATGAAAATATTTTTCCATATACTTCTATATGCTTTAATAATAATCAAATTACTATCTCTTTTTAAGATTATTTATTTATTTTCAGAGGGAGAGAGAGAGAACCGGGTGGGGAGTAGAGGCGAGTGAGAGAGAGAATCCCAAGCAGACTTCGCAATGTCAGTGCAGAGCCCGACACAGCGCTTGAACTCATACACTGTGAAATCATGACCTGAGCCAAAGTCAAGAGTTGGAGTTCAACTGACTAAGCCACCCAGGCACACTACTATCTGTTTTTATTTTCTTGTATATCGTACTATTAATGTTAATTTTCCTAGGAGTGTTTTTGTCTCTTGTTTTTGAATAGCTTCCTAAACAAAATAATAAGTGCAGAAACATAGATTATGAACAGTTTTCTTTGTTGAAGTCTTATATTCTGAATACAATGTCTAACTTTTGCTACAAATAATATGAAAGGCTCAGAGAGCTGTCCTGCATTTTACTAATCCCAGAACTCTTCTCTGATAATATTTTTGTCATTGTTTCCTAAAAATGAAGTGAAATGAAAGAAGTCTGTGTAATTAGAGGGGTCAGATATTAGATCCTCAGTTTCTCAGTATATTAGGAGGAGACTGAAGAAGACTGAATCTCTTTCTCTCCCCCTCTTCTTTTCTCCCTACACACACACGCACGCATGCACACATGCACTGCAGACAGATGGACTTCTTTCAACTCTATGTTCCATTCCTAATCTGTTTCCAAAGGGCTTTTTAAACAGCTATGCATTTTTGGAAAATTAATGTTACAAATATAGAGTTAACATTCATTTAAAAATATTCTTTGAATTACCAAAGGTGGACTTCTTATATGCTTTATGGCAAATCTGTTTCCAGAAAGGGCTTTATAAACAGCCACGTGTTTTGGGGAAATTAATGTTACAAATATAGAGTTCACATTCATTTAAAAATTTTCTCTGAATTACAAAAAATATAATCTTTAACTTTTCAGCGTAAAGTGATTACGTAAAACAAGGCACATCTGTGTTTTACTAGTCATTTTCACTTGTCACTTTTTACTTTTAATATTTAGGGGAAAAAAGCTTGCCTTCTTGGATTCTTATTTTAGATATAGAACTTAATGGACTTTTACTCCACTTTCTAACTTATTTTTTTGATCTGAAAATGTGGCCGAATAGTTGTGATAGAGCATGAGACAACTACTGTCCAGACACTGAAGATTCAAATTATACTCTGTCTGTCTCTCTGATGAACTGATAAATGAGGATCCAGTCAGAGACATTACACTAACACAATTTCCCAATCTATCCAGACATGGCTTAGATACAAAGAGGCAAATCCAAGATCAGCATTCCATTCCCAACCATGTTTACGGAACACTGGACACACTGTTCCTTCTTTTTGAGTCATTAGGCAGGAGAGAATATATCCTGACATCTCAAGATGCTGTCCTGAGGATGCAGAACCCACAATCTGGGTTCTTTAGCGTCAGCTGAATAGTGGGTGCATGCTGAACACCCCGAGTCTGGGTGCAATTACAAGGTCAGAGTGAGAGGAAGAGGCACTCACAGTTGTGGCAGGTGGCTCCACTGTATCCCGTCTCCTCACAAGCGCACTGGAAACTATGCCATGTTTGCGAGCACTTCCCGCCATGCTCACAGTGATTGGGCACACATCTGTCAGAGAGAGAGACAAACAGAAATAAACCCACACGCGAATGAGATTTATGAGTGGCCGAATTCCAAGCTGTCTGGGCAATATATCATTTCAATGCCAGGTTGACTTACCAAGGCAATTAATCCTTGTTAGTTTAAGCAGATTAATATGATCCATGATGGAAGGTGCCAGGCGCACAAAAGATGATGTATCACAAGCCTGGTGTTTCCCATTTTTGAGTAAACAGTAGAAATTAACAGTGGAGAGACTCATTTGCATAGCCCAGATTCATTTTATTTTGCCTTTGCACACACAAAAAAGACACTAGCTGAATTTCCTCCTGGTGAAAGATGGAAGATTAGCCACCTTGTTCCTGGCCTCTTCTTTACCAAGGCCAATACCAAGTCAGAAAGGGGCAACGCTGAGTTTTTCATAGCAATTTTGAGTTTTTGAAATAATGCTGTGGCAACAGCAATAAGACTGTGCTAGCCTTAAAAGAAAAGATTGCTAAGTCTTCTGTACTTCTCACCCTATGCCCAGCTGGTGAATGAAAACCATGTACCCAAAACAGCATCGAGCACAATACAGGGGGAAATGTGGGTTCCATGTTCAAATCTTTGTCTTTCTATTTACTATATAGCCAGTTGTGGCTATGTAAGTTAACCTTTTATTTTTAATGTTTATTTTTGAGGGAGAGAGAGACAGAGAGAGAGAGAGAGAGACAGAGAACAAGTTGGGGAGGGGCAGAGAGAGAAGAACACACAGAATCCAAAGCAGGCTCCAGGCTCTGAGCTGTCAGCACAGAGCCTGACGCAGGGCTTAAACTCACAGACTGCAAGATCATGACCTGAGCTGAAGTAGGATGCTTAATCAACTGAGCCACCCAGGTGCACCTAACCTTTCTTAACATCAATTTCTCATTTAAAATATGGAGTAATTTTACCTACCTTACAAGTAGATTTAAGGTGTGGAGATAGTACCCATAAACTAGATAATTAATAGGCAGGAAGTAGAGAGGCAACATATGGGAGCTACAAATATCTGGACTGCAACTTCGAGGGCATATTTTCATAGCGTGCCTGTACCCTCACAACAGTGAGGTTGAAATCTGTTCAGAAATACTCCGGTTTCAAGAGCAGGATCTTTCCAGTCTCCTGGTCCTATGGCCTTATTCCCCCCACTAATTCTTTTCTACAACTTCCCCACAACCTGATCCTTTATAATTCTGGCTAAGATCCTCACAGATAACAAAGGCATTGTTCCATACTAAGATTCACAAAAGGTTTAAAGATTTTCATAAGAAATTCTCTAAAATGGAAAAGTCTACCCAGGATACAACGGGAGAACCTACAGTAGTGGATCAGAGGCAATGGACTGATAGACACCACACAGCATGGGCGCCTTTGGTCCTAATGCCCTGGTAGCTTCCTGCTGTGAACTTGATAGGACTGGTCTCAGAGGCGGCATTCGTCATCCCCCATTCTTGACTTACCCTCAGTCACGCCTAAACCCAGTGTAGCAGGCATAACTCCATTTCTCAGTGAACCTCCCATTCTTATGGAGGAACTCTGTTCCCCTACAACTCTTTGCAAACCTTTAGTCATGCAACAAACATTTACTGAACGCCTGCCTATGTGCTTAGCATGTGGGAATAGAAGGCAAATAAGATTTCAAGAACTCACAGCCTATAAAAGTGAATATATTGTGGGGCACTTGGGTGGCTCAGTTGGATGAGCATCCAACTTCAGCCCAGGTCACAATCTCACGGTTCGTGGGTTTGGGCCCCATGTCGGGCTCTGTGCTGACAGCTAGCTCAGAGCCTGAAGCCTGTTTCAGATTCTGTGTCTCCCTCTCTCTCTCTGACCCTCCCCTGCTCATGCTTTCTCTCTCTCAGAAATAAATAAAACAAACAAAAAAGTAAGTATATTGTATATATGAAAACTATAACACAAGGTGGAAATGAAAAGTGCCATAATGCAGGGACAAATAATGCATGATGGAGTTTCACACGAGGGATCATATGTAGATTTGGGGCAAAATAGAAAACTTTTAGGTGCAGCCTCGATGAACAGACGAGACTATAAGAGAAGAACTGAAAGAGCATTACTGCGGGAAAACACAACAGAAGCAAACACACAATGTTGGGTTACCATGGGGAGAGGGGTGTGTGTGGAAAATTCACTCTACGTAAAAAGGAACTTGTATTTCATATATATTTGGACTTGCTGTTATCAAGGCTACAAGGAGGGTCCTTCTCCAAAGACCTTATAACCTAGGTGGAGATGGAGGATAGGATTCACACAAAATACAATGCCAGGCAGAATTTGATGAATATCAGAGGAACAGGAAATGCTATAGACATATGGATATTAGAGTAGTTATGGGTAGAATATGAATAAATATGAAGTTTAGAGCATTTCACTGCATTTTTATAATTAAGATGTTGAAAAATTTCCCAGCAGAGGAAATGAGAAAGCAGTGACAAAGACATTAACCGTGCCCTCCTGAACCCTCGCAGGCACCAAAGCCCGGGCTTCTGCAGAAGGTATTTATTTACACTCACCACCCTGATTCTCCAGATCACGAGAGAAGGCAATGGGATAGACACTCCAAAATTATGAAAAACTAAAAAAAAATCCTTGATACTTAATTTTGGAATTCAGTATGTATATGGCTTTGTGTGGTATATTTACTTTCTAAATGGTTGCGGGTTAATATTAGCTCAGCCTAATAGTGAAAGTAATTTACATCAGCTCATTATATCAATTAATTCAGGAGGAAGTAGGATAGAAGTGTACTGGGTTACATAGGAAGACCAGCCTGGAATCTAAATGTGCTCTAAATAGTGCGCAAAGCAGACAATCCACCTCTCAGTTATAAAAAAGACTACCGTGTACTCACACACACACACTAAGTATATAACCATCAAGTGAGACTGACGGAATACTCCTAAAATTCAGTATTAAAGATTGCTTTAAAAGTGGTCTCTTATTTAAATGCGGCTTTGATAATTTATTTTTTAACGTCTGTTCCTTATAGTTTGCATTTTAAAAATAGATATTATCCTTACGCTGGTACTGGCATTGAATTCTTTTTCTCAAATTAAAAATATTGTTTTATTTATTTATTTTTAATATTTTTTTAGTGTTTATTTTTTTAAAGAGAGATAGAGTGTGAGCGAAGGAAGTACAGAGAGAGAGAGAGGGAGATACAGAATCTGAAGCAGGCTCCAGGCTCCAAGCTGTCAGCATAGAGCCCGTCCCGGGGCTCGAACCCACAGGCTGTGAGATCTGATCCGAAGTCAGCCACTTAACCAACTGAGTGCCCCTATTTTATTTATTTTGAGAGTGAGAGAGAGAGAGAGAGAGAGCGAGAGAGAGAACAAACTTGGGAGGGGCAGAGAGAAGGAGAGACAGAATCCCAGGTGAGCTCTGCACCATCAGCGCAGAGCCCAAGGTGGGGCCGGCTAGAACTCATGAACTGTGAGATCATGACCTGAGCCCAGATCAAGAGTCAGATGCTTAACTGACTGTGCTATGCAGGCGCCCCCGGCATTTAGTTCTTGATGGTTAGAGTTGTTTTATTGCCAAATCAAATTGATTCAAATGTAATTTCAAACCCTAATACTTTATCACTACATTAAAAAAAAATGTTAGAGCCAGTCACCAAGTGAAACAAAATATGAATTAAATTAGTCTCTTACTTCCTAACTGTTTATGTCTTCTCCTATGCTCCCACAAGACCATTTGCAGAGGTCCTATATGCCACTATCACATTGGTTAGTAACTGTTTAAGCATCTTGTCTCTTGCAAGCCATGAGATCCTGCAGTTTGGGATTTTCATCTTATGACTCAGCATGAGGAGGTGCTTCGCTCACTCAGGAAATGTCTGCTGGCCACTGACTGAAGCAATAGACAAATGCGCTCAGTGTGAAGTGACACCAAGGGACTGCAGTAAGTTTGGAGGAATCATCTCTTTCACTGGGAGAACTACGGATTAGTGTTAGGTATGCTTTTAGTCTCAAATCCAGACTCTTGCTCTAGGTTACTATTACATGTAGAGTTTGTTTCATGGCTTGTCTTAGGTTGGAAGTTTGATTCGCATCACACGTGAGTCCCCATGGCTCCACTGTGATGACCTGAGAACTACTTAGGCAGGACCAGGACCTTGCATGGGACAAGTCGGCAGGTGTCAATTTGCTGTGATTAAAGGGCTCAAGAGGAAGTGATGCATGTCCCTGGATAGCCCCGGCATCAGACCTAGAATCATCCTTCTGGCTGTAGCAATGCACTCTAAAATGCTTCAGGGTCAGAAGGCATTTTTTTTTTTTTTCAGATAAAAGTGACTTATACCACAATATGTAAAACAAACAAGAGCTAACATTTATTTGAAAGCTGAAATGGATAACAATTACTTACTCTAAAATCCATCCAAACAGAATGGCTGTTTGGATGGATGCAACAATTCTATCCAGGGTTATGGATGACAGTTGGAGTTTTATTTTACCCGAGTATCTCTTTTATTTCTATACTTGATTTTAATGGCAAAGCATTGAGAAAAAAATGGTATTTGCAGATATAAGAAACCGCAATGGCTCCAGATTTGTTTGTCACAGCTCACTTTTGTAGATACTACCCTAACAGAGACAGAAGAAATTTTATTTCCAATCTAAAAGAATGTCAAGCTGACAGCATCACTGAATGCAATGGTAGTCTCCAAAGGACTTTGAAAGTGTTTTCTTTTCCTTTCTTTCTCTACAGTGCTTAATAGTTAACATAGATAGTTTTAAATGAAATTCAAATAAAATCTTTGTGTTGCCTTTAAAACTATATTTGGTTCTGCAGAACCCAATACAAAAACCACAGAGTGTTTTCTGAAATATGTTCACACAATACCAAATAATGATTAACAGTGGAGTGTTCTTCAGAATAGCTTGCTGTTATGAATATCCTGAATGTTCATGCACTTGGGAGTCCCTTGAAAATCTGGTTAAAATGAAGATTATGATTTAAGTCTGGGG